GGGGGGGGGGGTGTCATGTTGGCATTGCGCATCCTGAAGCACTTGGCGGTGGCATTAGTTTCCGAGAAGCCGGTGGTTCCTGACTATGGGCTGCACCTTGACCCTCTCAGGAAAGCAGCTCCGATGGGAAGTGCTGATCGCAGAATTGGGGGGACTTTTAGCCCTAACCCCCCCACCATCCTGTGCCCTCTGCCTAGTGAGGGCAGGACCTGCCTGCCACCTGCTGAGCCAGCTGAGCTTCTGGGGCCACGTTGTGTGACATGCTGGCCTGCTGTGCAGATGGCCTGCTGCTGAACACTCGGGGAATGGTCACACCCTGACTACACAAGAGGGTGGGGACTGTGTTCCAGAAACTGAGCCTGGGCAGGTTTTTCTGTTGTGTCTGCAAGGCTCTCCCCCGGGACTCAGTACTGGGACACTGTCCCTGAGGCAAGCCACTAGAGGAGATCCCAGAACCAGGGCTGGGTGAAGCTGGGTGAGGGGAGCGGACCTGCCACAATCCCTTTGGACTTGTTCCTCTGTGAGCCCCTCAAAGCCGAGAGGAACAGAAAGGATGCGCATGACACGCACAGTCCCACCCTCAGCGGGGCAGCCGTGCTGAGAATCTGTCCATCCGCCCTCGAGCCCCACACTGGGACCCTCCCTGTTGCCGCTCTTCTCACCTGCTGCTGCTGCACCCCCACCTCTGCCCACTAGGACTCCTCCCCACTTTGCACTTCTCTGCCATCTTCATGTTTTCCCCACTTTTGCAGAGTCCAGAGGCCTCAGAGAGAATCTCTTCTTGTTCCAGGGCCTGGCCTCCCCTCGCCCTCCTCCCTTCTGCTCCTTTTCCCTCCCTCTTCCCTCTCCTTCCAAGAAAATGCCACTTCACAGAAAGTTCCATTTTCACAGCCACATTATTGTCAAGCATTTCCCCAGGTCTGACATGGCAAAGGAATGTCTGACATCACCTCGGCCAGCGAGTCCAGTCCTGGCCCCGCCCCCTCCGCCCCGCCCCCTGCTCCAGCTCTTTGCTGTCCCGACTCCTGAGGATTCACAGGCAGCCTGCTGGTCCTGGGACCCTGTGCCACCCTCCACCTCTAGGGACGTGTTGCTTGGTAACCTGGGAACACAAGCTGGGTCTTGGCCTCCAGAGACATAGCTCCCCAGTCCCCAAACTTTCCTGCATGTTGGAATCACCTGGAGAGGCGCTGACAGCCCCATGACTAGGTCACACCCTAGACCAAGGAACTGGGAATGTGCCGGTGGGAGCCAGGCAGCAGAAGTTTTAAAGACTCCCCCCAGGTGACTCCCATGTGCACCAACGTTTGGGAACCAGGGACACAGTGCTGCACCAAAGGGGGTTAGGCCGCAGCCAACTGACCTGCCTTCAGAACCTCGTTCTCAGCTGCCAGGTGCCTTCTCTGGGCCTCTCAGGCAGATCTGCTCCACTGAGGGCCGATGGGGCCAGGAGCCCCCACACAGAGGGTGCTGGCACCCAGGCAAACAGCCAGGTCCCTCCCTCCTCCCTGGACACAGCCCCAGCTGTGGGGGCTCACCTCCAATTCCTGCCCTCAGCTGGGCGTGTGGCCACCCTGAGCAGCAGGAGGCCAGGTGATTCTCAAGGTGGATCCCCTGGGCAATACCGGTGACCCCAAAGCCTGGGCCGGGGCTGGCAGCCACCAGAGGCCTGTCTGTGGTCTGACACTGTCCCTCAGCCTGACAGTCACCTGTACGGGTGCTTCTCATACTCCAGTCAGATCCGATTACTGGCCCCACCTCAGGCTGACTCAAGAGGTCTGG